CCAAAACCTTTGAAAGATCAGATAAGGTCACTGAGCTTAAATGAGCACCGGTGACCTTTTGCTCAGGACAGGTATCAAGGTTCACGGTGGTTGCATGAAAAGGCTGGGGGCACTTTGGCGACCAATATGGAGTTAGACATCTTTTGACCCTATTTGACCCGAAGGTCATGACCTAGGAAACTTGAATTTTAAAACAAGTGAGCTCAAACAAGTGAGCAAATGGCAACACACAGCGAATTTTATATATCTTGTTTTCAGATATTTCAGGAGACGCAAACTGGCCACCCACCCGAGCGGAGGGTATTCGCCCGGCCATCCGGGCGCGCGTTAATGCTACAGCAGTTTTGCACAGGGTCGTTTTCAACGGCGGCCCCATACGAGTAGCATAAATCAGTGATGCCCCATCACTGAGGTGCAGTGAGTCTTGAACTCGGTGTCAATGAAACAAAACTATGCGTTACGTCCCTCCCGTCCACCACAGTGGAGCTGCCAATCATGTTCAGCATCAATATTGAGTGGTTTTGTGTCTTATCTGAATCGTTGTCAGAGGGTATTCGAAAATTTCATGATATGCCTATACTGATTTCAACTTTTCAACATTCTCCCAATCCCAATATTTGGTCAAATGTCCTAATGTAGCGAATACGAAGGTTTGGACACTGCGAGATAAGAGGCAAACTGAACGGGTTCGTTTGCAGTTAATGCTACCTTAAAATTCAACTCGCGGCGGCATCCTAAGCAGCTGTGTGAAATCAGGTATCAGCAATACGTGCTAATGCATGCCGGCCGGTCATGATACCCAAAAAGGGGGAGAATTGCTACTGTGAAGTGTTACATTCGACATTCGCTTCACAGCCCTTGTCAAGTCTAGATGTTCACAGATTTGAACGATTCGAAAAATGCCTCCCCCCCCTTACCTCTTGCAGCTTTTAAGCGATATGTCTGAAAAAACCGACAGACCACAGCAAACGACACCATTCTATCAACTAACGGATTTAAGGGGTAAGCAAACAATGGAGGACGATTGCATGACATTGTCTTCACACCAGCATCCCTCAGTGCACTAAAGGTCAGCTATTGGAGCACAAACGTTCGAAGTGTGTTAGAATCAGAAGCCTAATGCCATTTTCACTTGAGTCAAGTTGCCTGGAGACAGTATTGGAGAACACAATGCAGAGCTGCACAGGCCGTCTTCAGCAGACTGCCCAGCTTAAAGCGGGCGGTTGCCGGGCATCTGAGCAGCGGCGGCGAACTGTGGAGCCGCTTCAGCCTTGTGCACTAATTCGTTGTCACTGTTTCTCTTTATCACGCTTCATCCTTGTAAGATACATATCCCCATGTGTATCGTATGGAAAGTTGCTAGACAACGAACATGATGTCTGCTATGGCAAGACCGATTGTTGCTCTGCTGCCCAATTTATAACGCAATCAACGAGAACGAACTCTAGGCCCATTTGCATAAGATCAGCAGACGCCTGTATCGCTGGAACGAAAATCAATAACACACCTACTTCAAACTGACAAATTCCAACACTCCAAGTTTGATAACGGCGCAAATGGGCTGCTTGACACGGGTTTCGCCGACCAAGCGATGGTTGCAGCCGGCTGCGGTGGGGGCGGCGTAGCCACGCGGCGCCCCACATCGGCTTGGAGGCGGGATATTAGGTTGGCATGACGACCGAATTCCATTATAGCTTCCCATCGACATGCTGAATAGAGGCCCGGCGGCCTGTTGGGCTGAAGAGAATGCAGTTTCGGGAATGATGCAATCCGGAATGCTCTACATTTAGCGCGAAGATTTGGCCACCGACGTCAGGTTCCACACCAATGGCCTCGTTTTTGCAGAGGTCTTATTCCATTCATGTGTAAATCGGCCAGCTTTAGCTCTCCGCTATGCCATGTGTTGTGTATTCTGTTTCTTCACTGGTGGTTTGCAAGGTGTCGAGTGGTTATGTCATGAGCGTCATTGAAGCCCAGGGCAACAACGGCGGCCACTTGAGGTCCAGGTCACATCAGGTCAAAGGCTGCAATTGACGTCGTTTGTTCGCATTGAGATCGTTTTGCACTGAAACGGCGGACGTCTCTTGACTCTCGTCATTCATGGTCTATGACGCATCATGCCCAGCTTTGAATCTGAATTGGCAACATGAATTAAATGCGACGTACCAGTAGCACAGTTCCTGAAGGTGCGGTCAGCGCCAGTACCTGACTTGTGCTCACTCTGTAAGTTCCAGATCATCCGCTGACTTGACCGGTAATGTAATGTTTTCAGATAGCCTTTGGGATGTAGTGACGATATGCTGACTTGAGCTAGACAGTCAGGGGTGCAAACGCGTCGAAACTGCCGTGATTATCATGGAGTTTCGAAGCAAAGGTCACACGGAGAGTGACCTTTGTTTTATTCACCCGACCATAGCACCGATACACAGGGAAAAAAATTGCGAACACAAAGCAGCATTGGTTATATCTAAAAGTACTGAGGCATAGAAAGATTAATATATCGAGCTTGCAGGACCAAGGTCAGTGCAATCTCTCAAACTTCAATCGCATCCGCCGAGCATTGTCTTTTGCACGAATCCAAAACCCGAGCCTGTCCATCCGCCGCAGCAAAAATGTTTAAGAGAATAAACTGTGCCAATCCATCCCTCTCCGACGCAATTTGACATATCGAACGCGGCAGACCTGGGCTATATCCTGCTTTATAACTTCCTAGCATAGCTTCACCTTCAGTCTTTCAATATCCTGCAGTATACTCGGGCTGAATATTTTTCACATCTAATCCCGATTTATATTTCTGATGCTTCCCGACCCAGCCCTGTCCAGCGTATTGTCACTCGTAAATCCATGTGTTTACCCAGTCAATCAAAAATCAATGAAACGAGCTCTGCTGTGAAAGAACTACTGGTTTACTTTTGATCCAGCTGGTAGTTAATGCTCGCCGCTCCACCAGACCGTGAGGGGAGTGACGAGGCCGTGTAAGCGGACACGATCGAAGTCCGCTCAGGTGCCCGGTCCACCGCGCGCATCCCTCGCCCATTTCAACCACGACGTCGCAGTAGAGGTTGGCGCCAACACCCTTGAGAGCGGACACTGGACCGATCGAGTACTGCTGGCCTTGCGCATGGATGAGCTCATGTCGGCTTTTGGCGGTCCGTGCCGCGGTTCGTTACGACGCAGGAAGCGGGAGGCGCACTCCGCACCGCCGCACTCCAAGTTGCACCTGGGCCTTCAAAAGGCACTTACGCCCGCCTCGCCAGGGATAATGAGACCTCCAGCTGGTAAACAAAGCTGTCATGCTGTCGTGCGAAGGCTGCACGGCTTAGCCCGGAGGTGCCGGCACTGCCATCTGTTGACAGTTTTGGCAGTCAGGTCTTCGACTCCGGCCGGAAGGTGGCAGTCCTAACCCCTGTCGCAACGCACGCCCTCTCCCATGATAACGTCCAGTTGCAGCAGCGGCTGACCCGTGTCCCCAGCACGTCCTTCCCATCTATCCGCTATATATCCCGTACACTTTTTGCCCCAGTTCTTTCTCGAAACCCTAACGGGCTGCAATTTTACCAAATGCTTATTCATTTTAGACGGGGCAAATCCAAATCAAGATCTCTGTATCCAACGCACGGCTCTCCGACACGCTAACGCGTCCAACCTCTCCAGCTCTCACGCGTCCCCTCCACCCGGACCACCTCTCAAATCTCATCCCACCATACGTCCAGAGCCCACCTAAGTAGCTAAATCATTCACCCGGTCTCGGCCGCCGCCAACTACCGGTCACGCGGCGTATCCAGGCCAGCCCTACATCCATCCTCCGAAAAACGCCGATCGCTTGGCTCATCGTGTTATCATTAAGGTACAACTTTACAACATGGGACACTAGGCTAAAAATTATGATCACATAGCTAGGGTGCCCTGGCGCACGAGCGGCGCCGCCAGCGGTGGAGGACGCCGTGTCGAGGCGGCGGCGGCCTCGCCCTCGCCACGCATTGCTGTCACGAGCCTCGTCCAGTTCGCGCCGGAGGTAAGACAGTACACCATACAAAACCGCTAAACGTGAACCAACAGCGCGTGCTGAGCACCGGTGGGAGCTGCGGGCTGTCTCGGGGCGGCGCCCGGCGACGACGAGAACACCACCCTTGTCACGTGACCGACGCCGCAGTGGGCGCAGCACACACGCGCACGCACACGCGCATACACATGCGCACGAGGGCGCGGCCGCCGCGGGGACGGCGGCGCGGGGCGCGCCGGGCGCCACCGGGAAAACCCGCGGCGGCCGCCGCCCCGCGGCGGGCCTCGTCCCCGATGGCACGACTCTGAGCAGGCGCGACGAGCGCCGGCCTGGACCGGCCGGCCGGCCGCGGTACGCGTCCTCCTGGTCCTCCGCATCCTCTACAAGTCTTAACACATCCTCATTCATTATGCACGTACGCGCGAGGCGTGCATTCGGCACGTGCAGTGCACGCGTAAAATGAGCCACGCCGCGGCACACAAAACACCGGCAACAACTGATCAAGCACGTCACGCGTGAATATTGCCACAGTACGCGCCCCCGCCGGGCGCCGGGTATGCGCCAGCGCGCAACGCGCCGTCCCCCCACCCGTCCCCGCACCTCGCACCTCGTCCCTGTAGCCCGTGCGGCGGCCGCAGGTGCTGCCGGCACAGCCCGCCCGGCCCCCGCTGAGAGAAGGCCCTCTAACCCGTCACGGCCGGGCGACAGCCGCCGGCGGCGGTCACAGGGCAACGCCGGCTCCTCAGGCCTCTCCAGCTCCTCAGGCGTTGGCGGCGCTGGGCGAGGCCGGGTCGGCCGGCGGCGGCCACAGGGCAACGCCGGCTCCTCAGGCCTCTCCAGCTCCTCAGGCGTTGGCGGCGCTGGGCGAGGCCGGGTCGGCCGGCGGCGGTCACAGGGCAACGCCGGCTCCTCAGGCCTCTCCAGCTCCTCAGGCGTTGGCGGCGCTGGGCGAGGCCGGGTCGGCGCCGCCGCCGGCACCGGCCGCGTCCGCGGTGGCGGCGGCGGCGCCCTCTGCCTCCGAGCCACTCCGCGCATGCGCCGGCAGCAGCGTGCTGGTCAGCGACGGGCACACCTTCAGCTCTGCGGACGGCCAGGACGGCGTGAGAGGCGCGGCCCGGCGGCCAGATGATAACGTGGCCGTACCCGACGGTGAGCGCCGGTCGTTTTCTGTGAGGTCTTTTACATCGAATAGTTCTGGCACATTTCAGAACCGTTTTACATAGACCGGTCTAGGCCTGGACACTACTGCACCGCCGGATCACATCGGCGACGAAGCTGATCCGATCAGAAACGGGGAGACCGTTTGTGGTTCGATTTATGCTCGTCTACGTTGGCCGACCAGCGACGTGGACGGGAATTAACAGGGCACACGAGCGCCATGACGACCAGGCCTTAATCGGGCATCGTTAAATCTATTATCCCGCGCTGCCTGTTCATGTTCTGCGACCCAATTCGAGCATTCACGACACACAACTCTAAACCGGAGCGCACACATTTCGATGATCCTTTCGTACGATCACTTAATCACTTACACCAATGATACCGGATCACGTGTCCATCCGGAACCCTACGTCACTCCCCGATCAGGGCAACCGGGCACAAGTGTGCCCCCGACACGCAGCGCCGCGGTCTCCGCGCTCTCTCACGCCCACCCCGGCAGGTGGGCAGGCCGCCCGAGCACTCAGCGCCCTCGTTGCGCGCCATTCTGGAACTGACCCTGCTCGGTGAAGTTGAAGAGCGGCGGCAGCTGGCGGCCGCTGGGCAGGCGCGCCTGCGGCTCGCGCAGCTCGCCGAAGAAGGGGTGCGCGCACGCCTGCAGCGGCGAGGCGCGGCTGGTGGGCGTGTACTGCAGCAGCCGTGACACCAGCTCGATGGCCTCGGGCGGCGTGCGCGCCCGGAACACCTGCAGCGGCGCCGCCGGGCCCGGCCCCGTCAGATGGGCCAACTCTCGGGGCCGGAGGGGGGGGGGGGGGGACGTCGGACAGAGAACGAGGAAGACACACGAGCGGCGTCAGAAGTAGGCATTTCAGAGGCGGCACAAAAATCGTATGCGCGCGGTAGTGGTGAAAAACGGGAGAAATGTCCCAGAACACAGACGGCACGTCGCCCTGCGTACGCGGCGAGTCGTGCACTACCGACTTTAGCACCGCAATTGTCGTTTCCACTCGGCACCGCAAAGCGCGCCGGTCGTAATGACGGCGGCGCGGTAATAGCTCCAGCATGCGAGCGTAGCCCGTCGACCGGCCCGGCTGTGCCAACCGCCGAGCTCGCGGCGTGGCGATCCGACACGCAATCGGGGCCCGCACCACATCGACTTATCGACACCGTGCGGATGGCGCCACCGGCTGCCGTCGCCGGCGGCGGCGAGCTCCGCGGGCGAAACAACACCGCGGCCGGTCCGGCGCGCCTCGACGCGGCGTCGGGCGCGCCGGCGCCCCGTGCGGTCCGTCGCCGGCGCCGGCAGCTGGCAGCGTCGGGTGTCCGACACCGCCTGACACCGGAGTGAGCCCGGCGACGCCCAGTTCACCCGCCCCGTAACGTCACGGCGCGTGCTCCCGCCAACCCCAGTGACGTGGTTTTCCACACCGATGGCCGCCAGAGAGAATAAAATACCACCGTCGCGGAGACTAGAGCCCACCACCGCTCGCGCACATGCCCGACGAGCTGCGCCCGAGCCGCGGAAGCTCTCGTCTCCGGCCGCCGCTCTCACCTTCTGCCAGGGGTGGGCGCAGATCTGCGGGAACTTGAACTCGGTGTAGTTGGGGTTCATCTCGCCCCAGCTGCTCGCGCGTGGGCGTGCCCAGCACCTTGATGATCTCGACCAGCTGGTCGACACCGCTGTCCCCCGGGAAGATGGGCTGGCCCAGCAGCAGCTCGGCCAGCACGCAGCCGGCACTCCAGACGTCTGCCGGCGGCACCGCAGCTCGGTCAGCTCAGCTCAGCTCAGGTCACCAGCGCAGGTCAGGCCAGCGGCACAGGTCACGGCACACGTTGGGACAAGACGGCGGCACAGCACAGCACAGCTCAGGTCACCAGCACAGCTCAGGGGCCCCGTCGGGACAGCACGGCGGCACAGCACAGCACAGGTCCAGTCGGCATCACGCGACGTTTACAGAGCCGCACGGTAAGTACCGCCCACGGTACCCAAGCAGTCACCACCACCCTACTGCAGAGCCGTCAGCAGCACTACACCAAGACTCGGCACCCACGCCCGCCGAGGCCAGGCCATACCGGCGCCAACGGCGCTCGTCCGGCAGCAACGCGCGCGCTCTCCGGGCTTCTCGCCGACTTATGTCAGCCAGGCGCGGCCTCGGCCCGCCACCACCGCTCACCCACCGATGTTGGTCGTGTAGTTGGTGGCGCCGAAGATTAGCTCGGGCGCGCGGTAGTAGCGCGAGCAGATGTACGACACGTTCGGCTCGCCGGCCACCAGCACCTTGGCGCTGCCGAAGTCGATCAGCTTCAGCACGCCCGACTCCGGGTCCAGCAGCAGGTTCTGCGGCTTGATGTCCCGGTGGCAGATGCCCAGCGAGTGGATGTACGCCAGCGACCGGAACAGCTGGTACATGTACAGCTGCAGGCGGGCACGCGCGGGATGGTCACCAGCCGAACACGCGCTTGGCGACGAGGGGGGGGGGGGGGGGGGCAGGAAACGAGCAACGCACCCAAGGCGATATTTCACTTCGCATAGAGCGTCTCAGTTGTGTTGCTAGCCTTCCATGAGAACTCACTGACATGTTCCCTGGGAGCTTCCGCAGCAATCGACATCGATGAGTCACCACGCTCGCTAAAAACAGTCGTACAATGCACACATCGGCCTTATTCGTACATGACCGGGCACCGGCCGGCGGAACCTTCCTGTCTGATTCATCGCCTAACAGTACCGCCACGGACCATCCGGCGGCGCGACCGTCCGGGCGCCAGCCCAGCCGACGACGGAAGGACGGGACAGAACGCGGGCGGACGCCCGGTGATGGAGGGGGAGGGAAGGGAGGGGCGGGAAGCCCGCTAACAGCCTGTCTAAACTGGCGACCGGCCGAGGGCGCGGCCCCGATGGTCGCCCGAACCGGGCTCTTCCCTCACCGTCGTGACAGGGTTTACAGCCGCCTCAAATATTTACCGCGGGCCTCACGCGAGCGCCATCCACAGCCCCGCCAGCGGGCAGGCGGGCGGGCGGACGGGCGCCTCCTCCTCCGTCGGTCATAAGCAAACAGCCGTCCCATAACTCCCTCTTGTCCACGTGTGCAGCGGCGCCTGTCCTGCCGCTCTGTCAGCACGCTGGCGAGCCCGCCCAGCTATCCCCCCGTCCGGGAGTACAGCGGCGTCTGTCCTGCCGCGCTGTCAGCGCACTGGCGAGCCTGCCCAGCTACCCCCCGTCAGGGGGTACAGCGGCGTCTGTCCTGCCGCGCTGTCAGCGCACTGGCGAGCCTGCCCAGCTATCCCCCCCGTCCGGGGGTACAGCGGCGCCTGTCCTGCCGCGCTGTCAGCGCACTGGCGAGCCCGCCCAGCTATCCCCCCGTCTGGGGGTACAGCGGCGTCTGTCCTGCCGCGCTGCCAGCGCACTGGCGAGCCTGCCCAGCTATCCCCCGTCCGGGGGTACAGCGGCGTCTGTCCTGCCGCGCTGCCAGCGCACTGGCGAGCCTGCCCAGCTATCCCCCCGTCCGGGGGTACAGCGGCGTTTGTCCTGCCGCGCTGCCAGCGCACTGGCGAGCCTGCCCAGCTATCCCCCCGTCCGGGGGTACAGCGGCGTCTGTCCTGCCGCGCTGCCAGCGCACTGGCGAGCCTGCCCAGCTATCCCCCCGTCCAGGGGTACAGCGGCGTTTGTCCTGCCGCGCTGCCAGCGCACTGGCGAGCCTGCCCAGCTATCCCCCCGTCCGGGGGTACAGCGGCGTTTGTCCTGCCGCGCTGCCAGCGCACTGGCGAGCCTGCCCAGCTATCCCCCCGTCCGGACGACCCCCGCCGTGGCACACTCACACACACACCGAACAGGCGCGGAACACCCAGCGGCGTCCGGGGACGGCCGTCTCGGCGGCGCGCTCCCGGGCCCTCGCCTCCTCCCCTCCCCGGCACCGGGGGCGGCCGCTCACCTTGATGAAGCTGATGGGGATGGTCTGGCGGGAGCGGTTGTAGTGGCGCGATACCTTGTACACCGTCTCGGGCAGGTACTCGAGCACCAGGTTGAGGTACACCTCGTCGGCCTGCGGCGCACAGCGTCCATGCCGTCAGTGGCGTCTCACGGCCCGGCACGGAACACCACAACGGCTGCCAGCCGGTGCTGCTGGTCACTGCTGCTTGGTCTGGCGGACTGGACCGAACAACGGCAGTTTACACCGATGTTACACCGTGCACTCTTGACCGTAGTCTCAAACTCAAATGAAATACCAAGCCGCGGCGGTGACTGACTCTTCCCGACAATCAAGAGTGTATGGTATGATGTTGATACAGATGCAGTCTGAAAGAGGGTCTGCTATCAATACAATTCACACCAGCCAGAACTGACGGCAGCTGTGACAACCAGGAGCAAAAAGGAAGACAAAAAACAAGAGCACTTCGCATCCTCGAACGGAACAGACCGCAGAAGTTCTTAACAGAGCAACATCCCCGCCCTCCAGGATGAGAAACGGCAGCTCCCATCCGCACGGAACAAACGACGGTTCATACCAGGACAGAACAGAGCGGAGGGCACACTGCACACGGTCAGAGCAGACGAAAGCCTCGGTTGCCACCAGAGCACAGCAGACAACGCCACTCGCCAACTAAACAGGACGGACGACGCAGCAGCTCCAGTCAGACCAGGACCGGACAGGAGCAGTTCCCAGCCCAGCGTCAGACACCAGCAGTTCACGCAGCGCAGAGCGATCGATCACACAGCAGGTACCACCGGGAGAGCAGATGCAGGCAACCGACGGCGCCAGACCGGACCGGACCGGGCCGGGACGGCCGAAGACACGCCCGGAGGTCAAGGGCACGCCGACAGCGGAGGCGGCAGGACGGCCGGGCGGCCGCGGCGCGAGGGACCGCGCTGCAGACGGCCTATCAGATCAGCTGGCAGAGACGGCGCGCTGTGTGGCGGCCGTGGCACGGCCGGCACGTGGGCGCCACCAGATCCTATCCTGGCGACAGTCTCGTAAGCCACATCTGTCACGTGCATCACGTGACCGGCCGTGGGTGACGAGAAACCAGCTGACCCACGGCTCTACACAGGAGTCCGAGCTTCTCGTGAGATGGTGATGACGCATGCTTACCGGCTCCAGGCGCCGCAAACCGCACCATCGCAAAACCCACGTCAGCGAAATGATCCACAGCAAACTGCGAATGACGTCACGTACACCGAACAGAGATTAGAACAAAACCGTTCACCACGCAAGACCGCTGCCAATGCCATTTCACCCGTGATTCCTACACGCCAGCGCCGCTGGAACGGCTCCTGAGGTTCACTGTCCCAGGCACCACCGGGTGCTCGTTCGGTGGCCGTGGGTGCAGACCAACGCGACACGAGGACACCCCAACTCCGTGATTCAGCAGGCTTTCGCCCACGCCGCGGCTCGGCAGCCACCGTTGAGCGTCGGGGACGGCGGCCGCCGGGTGTGGCGATGCCCTGTCGACGGACGCGCCGCCGGTCAGAGGTGGGACGGCGGGGCGCACACCTGCTGCGGCGCTCCAGATCGGACGAGGAGCGCCGCCGTTACCGCCGTCGCCCAGACGCGACCGCCCCCGGACAGCCGTCGGTGCTGCCGGCCGGCATACTTCCCGGCCAGGAGACGGGTATTCGAGATTGGATGGCAGCCGAAATGTCCCGAGCGATCGAGCGAGCTCGGAAGGAACGGCTCTGCGAGTGGCCGCCACTTCACGTTCGATCCGATCCCGGTGACGCGGCGCTGCGGCCCGGCGACGTCAGTCCGAGCCGCGGCGAGGTGCGGCGCTGCGGCCCAGCCACGTCAGACCGAGCCGCGGCGAGGTGAGTGGGGAGGAGGCCGGAGACCGGCGCGCCGGTGCGGCGCCATGACGTGGGTCCGGGGAGTGGCGGAGGTCACGGGAGCGGGAGCGGGCGGACGACGGCCGTCCGGGGCTCCCCGCCGGCCGAACCGGACGCGGCAGGCGACCCGTGCGAGCGCGCCCAGTGCGCGACAGCACGGCGTGGCAGCGTCCCGTCACACACGCCGGCGGCCGCAGGGCGGGGTTCCCCCGCGTCACGCGCCGTCACCGGCACGTGCCGTGACGGCGGGCCGTCACGGCACGACCGCCGCGCCGGCCGGCGCCGATTGGGCGGCATCGATTCCGGCCCAGCGGCGGCGAGGCGCCGGGGCCGCACCGTGACGGCCGTCGTCGGGGCCGCCGGCGGCGACGGCACCGGCCCCCAGCCGGCGGCCAGCCGCCCCCTGGTCCACGGGCCGCCGGCGGGGACGGCACCGGCCGCCCCAGCCGGCGGCCAGCCGCCCGCCCGGTCCACGGGCCCGGGGAGGCCGGTCCTGTCGCCCGGTGGTGGTGGAGAGCTCGGGTTGACGGCGCGTTGATGGGGTCTCCCGGTCCGGCACGCGCGTGGAGAATGGATGAAGCGACGGACGCGGAACGAAAATCATATTCAGCCAGCACAGACACGGACATGAGCGGCACCTCCGTATTCGGACGCCGGATGGTCTACACACCGGTTAGCTCACATCACGTCGTTTGGACAGTCCAGACACGAGCACACGCACCAGTCGCAGGCAGCAATGCCTGGAATCCTTTTCGATCACTGGACAGCCACTTGCGGACAATGCAACCTTTAAGGCGAACCCGCAGCCGCCCCCCCCCCCACCCCCCCACAGTGTTCCAAAGCTCATCCAGCAAGCTGTGCAGGAGGTAAACATAACTGCATGCTACCAGAATGTTGGCTCTCTGCCGCCCTACACGCGCAAGTCGATGGCGCTAATCCGTTGCCCTTTGACTTCGAACCCAAACATCTGACCTGTCCGGCCCATTTGTCAAGCTTAGGACGCTTTGGTGCTGGGTGGACAGCAGCTCGGTTCGACGCTGATTGGTCTATTTTGAGGAAGGGGCAACAGGCAGTGAGCCCCAAGCCGAGGGTGTAATGGCATGAACCAAATATTGACAACCTTGCCACCCAAGTGGCCAAACATAAAGACACTCGCCCCGACAAAAATATCAACATTTTGATGGACACAGAAAAGAGAGCGTCTTCGACGACGACAGCAAAAGAGCCTCAGGCATTCTGACCTGGTCCCCACTCGAGTAGAAGAAGTATTTTAGTTTCACGATGTTGCAATGTTCCAGCTTCCTCATTATCTGCAGCTCCCGGTTCTGAAAACAGGGCAAAAAGCGCGTCAACGGACAGATTGGATTCATTAGAGTAGGCCACGCCCCACAGCACTCCTTGCAGGCCGGCGAATCGATGCATAGGCCGATTGGAGACAGCGCCAACTTCGATCCGAACCCAGTTTAGAACTGGCATGTTATAATGATGCGAGAGCGCGGCTCGATGCCAGCGTTCGAAGCGTTGACATTACCCCTGTTTGCTTGAACCTGCACTAATGTGCCTTCGGCGCATTTGGACCCAAACTGCAGCAAAGGCGCTCAGTATTCAGCGTTGGTGCCAACTAGTCCTGAAGGATCGCAAACACTAGCGGAACGCACGAAGCGGCAGTGGTACAGCCCGTAAGTGCAAGCACCGATAGGTAGCGATAAACACCGATACCTGAATGTTTCACCACTTGTCGCCAGAGCGGCCGACTGTCAGGCTTAAACCATGGCAAATAATCGGCGTCTCTTAATGAAGCAACGCCGGATAACTTCACTCCCTGCCGCGCATAAACACAGTGCACTGGGCGACGGCCAGCGGCAAATAGCAGCAAGGACTGCTATCCTACACACACTGACGGCCCGGCAAATCGAAGCGGCTACGCAAATCCTGGCGTAGTTCCTTGCTAATTTGTAATTAAATCAGCGCTTCACTACACGGAGCAAGACCACGGGCAGCAGTCTAACCCGAAATACCGCCGGCCGCGGCTATTTACAAACAAGTAGTTCCGCATCATGTACTCACTGGAATACAGTACGTCATATGGAATCGTTTTGAGGCGTCATTTTCTATGGTAGATATGGTTTGCCAGCTGATAAAAACATCGATATGATTTTTAATGAATGAAAAATGCTGTGAGTAGCGGCACTTCGCTTAATAACGTGCCCAGTGCCATCTCCTCAATTCTGGGTCCGTAACGCGCCAAAAGCAAACCACAAGTGCCAGCAAATGAGCTGTTGCTCCGCGGGCGGCATCTGGCCTTGATGGTGATGGCGGGTTTTGCAGGACTAACGACGCCGCTTTACTCCGCCGGCCTGCCGCTGGCACACGCAAGGGCAACAGTTCCCTGCAGGATGCGTGACGCCGCTCACTGGATCTCATCTGAGACTCACGTACGCCTCTGAGACTTCGGCTGAACAAATATTGCGCCACTTTCACCCAGACGAAACCCAGGCTCAGGCACGCGCAAGGCGCCAGCAAACGAAAAAAAAAACTTACAGGCTGTCACTTAAACGTTCCCAAATGTGAGAAGAACACCTCAGGAATATGTGTGCCAACAACAAATGGCTTCGTACCCGCAGACGGCACGAGAGGGACGCATTCAGCAAACGTGACGCACGTGACGCTACTACTACCAACACCGAGACCCCCGCCTCACGTGACGACAGTCGTGGATACACACAGCCGCCTTCAACCCTTCATAAGCGACACTGGAGCCCTGACTGGTCTGCTGTCCATCTTTAGCCACCGTTCGTGAGCCCTCCACCACGAGCGGCGGCCTATTCCCTCACCTTAAATCGCTTGTCTTGCAACACTTTTTTGATCGCCACCAGCTCGCCCGTATCACACAGTTTTGCCTGGTAAACCACCCCGAAGCTGCCATTGCCTATCACCTGAAACAGAAAGCGTCGCATCAACAGCAGGGTCCTGCCCGGCCGGTCCCTGCGGTGCTGACCATCTCTCCCAGCGTCGATGTGACGGTGGGCTGCATGCATCAACAGCACGGTCCTGCCCTGGCCAGCCCCAGCGGTGCTGACCATCTCCCCCAGCGTCGATGTGTCGGTGGACTGCACGTCGCTTGGTCACAGTCTGGCGGTAAAGCCCAAAGCAAGGCCCAGAACACGCACGTTTCTTTGTGGTCTGGCGCCGATTGCAGAAAACGTTACTGGCTTTACAAATAGCACAGGGTCTCGGGCACGATCATTCAATGGGGAGGACAGCACTGGCTGGGGAAAAGGGCGACAGCAGAGACGGGGAATGACGAGGACAGAAAATCAAGGGATGACGGCGACAGCAGCAGCAGAGGATGACGGGGATAGAAGGGTCAGGGGATGACGGGGACAGCAGCAGCAGAGGATGACGGGGACAGCAGCAGCAGAGGATGACGGGGACAGAAGAGTCAGGGGATGACGGCGACGGTAGTGCCAGAGAATGACAGGGACAGGAGGACCAGCAGGGCCACAGACTGCTACGAGACACATTGATAAGTGGGTGGGACTGGACAATCGCAGCATCAGAGCAGCCCGACCCCAGCACGAGCAGCGCGCGCGGCGCGACCCCTACGCCGCAGGATCACCCGCCCACTGAGCCGCACCAGTCAGGGGCGGGGCGCGCTGGCAATTCGCTGACACGGGCAGTCGGTGACATGGCACCGACGGCTCGACCGTAACCGAATATCCGGCCCGTTCAGCAGCGTTCCAGCGCCGGCTTTGTGTGCTATGTGAGGACGATCCGGCAGTAATGGCCGCCAGAGCGATGGACAGCCCAAACAAAGGCCCGACTTTACGGTAATGGATTACGCAACGTCGAGCATGTCCAGAGCCCAACACGAAATAAGAAGCAACGTACGAATATTTCCACCACCAAAGGCGCGTTCGTCTACAGCAGGGGAAAATTCAAGCAATGCACAACTGTGCTACCAGGCAGCGTTTCAAACCATGAGCAAATAGGAACATTGTGACACTCATCTGCAAGTTTCTGTGCATCCTTAACGTGTTACGTTCTAAACAAGGAGGCGTTCCACGATGCCTGTCCCAGCCAGATTCAGCAATATGACCGCCGCAGATATTACCGTGGTCTGTCAGATGTTTGTTGCAAGTGTGTTATGTTCTACTGTTGGGCGTTCCGAATGTGGACATGGGACACAAAACTTCCAAGGACGTAAACATTAACGCATTACTAGCCCGTGCCATCAATCTTGCAGGAAATGAAACGTAGAATTGTGCACGGGGTCCTACGGAACTGCGGGAGGCAAACGTTAATGAGCGCGTGGAAGGGGCTGTGACAGTCATCGGTCAACGGTTACCCAACTGCCCACGATTTGTCCATGATGAACACGACTGCTCGCTCGTGGTTACGGGCTTAGTGGCTATTGATGTGGCGATACAAGTCAATACGTACAATTGAAACTTCTGGATCCCCCAGTAACCAATCGCAAGTCCGTTCAGCCCTCCCAAACATCAAATCCCACGTTCGGCCAGTCCAGTGCGTGGCTTACAACAGGCAGTCAGCACGGGCGCCGCCCGGCCCCCAACAAGCCAAACCCACCCGCGGCCACAGCGCGAAAACATCCCACAACAACACGGCGAGCCTGTTGCCGGCTTCGCAGCCGGTCTGCACAGTCCATCCCCAGCCGTACACAGGTGCGGCGCTGGCCGTGCGCCGCCGGCGTCAACAGTGCGACAGGTGCGCCGCCGCCTGCGCCGCGCGGCCGGCGAGCGGGCGACGCCCGGGCCGCGCGCGCCTACCTTGGTGTCGGAGTACGAGACCTCCTGCGTGCGGTCCGACCCCTGGCCCGGGGTGGCCACCACTGTCGTAACCCGGCTGCCATCTTTACCTGCGAACAGAGACAGCGAGTCTGAGTAAACGGCCGGCCGGCACGCGCGGCGACATCGGACGCAAGGCCGCGTCACGTGCCGCCGGCCGGCTGGCGGCGCGGCCGCGGACATCCGCGTTCGGTTACGAACCGCTGCACAAGGTCATCCACTCTGCGTTACGACCGTCCGACGACGCAATCTGCGCCCAGCTGAGACCGCCAGCTGAAACCTCGTTCACCCTGGATGGTTGATCATGATCGCTTTTTCACTTTCACGAGGGGAGGGGAGGGGGGGGGGGGGGCAAGGCGATTGTGGAGAATCGGTGGGCGGCTCGTACAAAGTGGTGTGTCTGTCTGTCTGTCAATCCAACTTCATCAAGCCGAGCCTGCAAGTGACGACATACTTTCCCTCTCTATTCATGATGGATGTGGTAAATGCTCACATGGGCATTCAGGGAAGCCGCGTCCCACAAACGCTTCCTCACCACAACTCCGGAGCTCACGCAACGACCACCACCTCACAAATTCAAAACAGACCAATTACGAAAGCTACACTGATGAAACCTGAAGGAAAAACCAACAGTCTCCACCAAAAATCAGCAGCGTTCCTAAAACCGGCAGCTTGAACAAACTTCCCGTATCCTCCTCTCCCCCGCCAAAGGTGAGCGTTACAACGACCAGTCTTCTGAAGCCCGTCTGGCCACATCACAGCGCGCCACGAGTTCCCCTCGCGGCCGCCGGGCCGACGAGCTCGGTGGCGACCTCCAGCGCGGCGCCGGCGCCCGGTCACCGCCGCCCGGCCCCGGCGGTCCCGGCGCGCCACGCAGCGGTAGCCCTCCGCCACCCCGGTCACCCGCCGCCACCGGCCCCGACGGCCCTGGAGCGGCCATGCAGCGGTCGCCCTCCGCCACCTCGGTCACCCGCCGCCACCGGCCCCGACGGCCCTGGAGCGGCCACGCAGCGGTCGCCCTCCGCCACCCCGGTCACCCGCCGCCACCGGCCCCGGCGGCCCTGGGGCGGCCACGCAGCGGTCGCCCTCCGCCGCCCCGGTCACCCGCCGCCACCGGCCCCGGCGGCCCTGGAGCGGGCCACTCCGGACGTCCGCACGGCCGTTCCGGGTGCGCCCACGCGGCGCGGCGCGGCGCGCAGGCGGCGAAACCGGCCCCGCTGGAGGGCACGCGTGCGAGCTCCTTTCTCCCGATCGCTCCTTCCGTTTGGGACGCAGCGGCGGCCGCAGCACCGACGCTTTGCCATAGGTGGAACTTATGCAAGCCGACTGGGAGACACGTTA